CCCCTACAGCCTGGAGATCACAGCCAGGGTCCTGGTCCTTATTTAAGTGTAATCTGTAGTGTAACCAAACCTCAAGTCTAGGCCTCAGTTCTCCAATCTACCTAAGGGTCTGTGTTGGCTAATATTGAGAGAGAAGATAAGATTAAAGGTTATTTCAGTATTATGACACCAAAGGAACACTAAAGATTTAAACAGAATGTATCTGAAATAATAACGGGACACGTATTCAAAACCTAGACAAGCAAAGGAAAATGTACTCAAGTCTTTCACTAAGGAAGAAAATCAACAACATGTCCCAAGCAGGGAATGGACAATGTTCTGTATTAAGTAGCATTCGCAGAAGAGGCAGGAGAATTTCAGGTACTTAACTCACTGGAAATGAACAAATCTCCAGGGACGGTATTGAATTCTAACTGAAACAAGAGATGTTGTTTCCACAGCCATTCAACACAATTCCTTGAACAATCCAGGGAGGTGCATCCATAGGCTGGATAATTGTACTGAAAATTAAAAAAAATAATAAAATAAAATTGCACAGAAAATGATTTACGCTGTCGGGAACGGTGCTCACTTGCACGACGCGGGGACAGAATTCGTGCTGAGCATTCTGCTGATGTCTCTCAAAACTAACCTGCGTGATTGTCACGCCATATTTAAACCTTTTCTAAATCGCTACCGGAATCGCTTTGCAAAAGTAAACAGCACACAAATGCGCAGAGCTATGGTAGCACTTTCATATGTTACAGCGGGCAGGCGGGAGAGGAATTCGCACGCCTGTGGTGTGCTCTCCTGTTGCAGTCTCCATTTGACGTAAAAATAGCCGCCGTCTGGCAACCGAGACCAAATCCCGTTTCCGCAAAAGAGCTAGCATTCCCGCCGCCAGCCCTCTGCGTTTTCCAGCGTCCTCGTCGACTCCAAAACCCGCCATAATTGAAGGGTCGCCGCGCCGCAGGGTTGCAGCTCAACTCCCTTATTAACTGGGATTGGCGTAAACAATCCCTGCAACGCCGTCTCGGATCAGAAGAGCGCTTCCGACATTTCCTGGGTCAGCAGTCAACAACCCTCATGTTGGTCGCAGGCGGAGCTCAAAAGCTAAAACAGAAGGAAATGTGTTTATCCGAAATATATGTTTTCCTTAAGAAAAAGCCAGGCTGCAAATACTGAAAAATACTTAACTCTCACTCTTCCACTATATATCGTGTTACTATGAATCACAAATGTATATGAAGAGTCTGGTTTTAAATGTGCACTATTGTTCGGTACTGTACACTCAACGTTCAGCTGTCCTACCGATTCAAACCGCTGTACTTAACTGATCATCTACAGCCGGCTGTCCTACTCACCTTCATACTATTGTAGATGCTGATTCATACCACAGCCCTAAAGGTAAATATCGAATATATCGTCAAAAGAACAGAATTCAAATCTAGGGGTGATATTTTAAACTTGTACAAGACACTAGTGAGCTAAAAGTAAAAATTCAACAGTGCTGTGTACTAAGGGTACTGGCAGAGAATATATTAAGGCTTCTTGGAGGGTTAAGTCTCAAG